AAATAAAATATAAAAATGGTAAACTACATACAAATGTTGATCCGCTTTCTAGATATCCCGTCAATGATGAAGTAGACCTAAACACTGATGTGACATTCTATCAAACCACAGTAAACATCGGTGATGAGCAGAAAAAAGACCGTTGGTGTCGTGAACTATATAAAGAAATTAATACAAATAAAACTGTAAAATACATAATTGAAGACAACATTATCTACTATGTTGATACTGACATTACTGGACAGGAAAGACGCAGAGTCTGCTTACCAAAGCATATGATTGATGATGTTTTGTATTCATTGCATAGTGACATGACTTCCGGGCATTTAGGACTAAATAAAACATTCGACAAAGTTATGAATAGATTTTATTTTCCGAACATGAAGAAAATCGTTTTCCGTTTTATCAGGGGATGTGCCGAATGCCAATCACGTAAAAGAGATTATGGTTTACCTAAAGGTACACTCCATTCAATAACTACAAGCAAACCTTTTGAGAGGGTAGGATTAGACTTTATGGGTCCAATATCACCAAAGTCAAATAATGGAAACAAATACTTAATTATTTTAGTAGATCATTATACTAAGTGGGTCGAAGCAAAAGCTGTACCCGATTCGAAAGCGGCCGTGGTCGCAGATTTTTTTATTCATTCTGGTGTATTAAGACACGGCGCCATCACTACGTGCTTAACGGACAGAGGTCTTAGTTTTTGTTCTGAACTTACTGAAGAAATTCTCAAAGTTTTTAACACAAAACACGTTATGACATCGCCATATCATCCACAATGTAATGGATTAGCCGAAAAACAATGTAAAACATTAACAGATATGATGGCTTTATATTGTAGCTCTAATTATAAAGATTGGGATATATTTTTACCTTATTTGGTGTTTGCGTTAAACACCGCAAAACAAGAAACTACTCAGTTTAGCCCCTTTTATATGCTTTACGGAAGACATCCAAAGCTTCCGTTGGACGTTACTTTAGACATTGAATTAAATAAAGTCAATGAAATTGATGTGTTTAACAAATTTGCAGAAGCAAAAGTATTAGTTAAACAAAACATGATTGAGGCACAGATGAGACAAAAGAAGAATTACGACAAAAGACATAGATCTATGGAGTATCAAATCGGAGATTTGGTGTTAGTCTACAGAAAAATAAGAAAAGTTGGCCTAAGTGAACGACTTATTAATCCCTTTGTGGGCCCTTTAAAAGTGATAAATAAGTTCAATGACACGTATTGGTTAAAGGATGTAAACACAGGTACTGAGATACAGTCAACAATCGATCGTATAAAGCCTTATTATGAGTTTAACATTGATGACGACGATATTTGGCCAAAATTTGAAGACGACGTATCAGTGGATATGGAGTCGACAACCGAAGCAGTACCGAACAAGGAAGAATCCAAAGCACCATTATAATACGTGGGGCAACGTTCACGCCTTAATGTTTCAACTTTTACATTTTTAATTTTATAATTTTTGTCTAATATTGCATGCAATTGTTTAAATATTTTATATTGATTTTATACCTGTGCACACATTCTCTAATCTCGGGACGAGATTTCTTTGAAAGGGAGGGTAGTTGTCACGTTTGACGGAGATTAAGCCTCAGTAGAGGCCTTAAAGCTTCATAGCTTCATAACTTTAGGCTTCATATACATATGAAGTTATATAGTGAGGTACGAAGCATATCATCATAATACATAGCAGTGTATTGAGCATAGCTTTGTAATACACAGTAGTGTATACAGCATAGCATCATAATACATAGCGGTGTATTGAGCATAGCTCTTTAATACACAGTAGTGTATACAGCATAGCAGTATATTTCAGCATTAGCGGCACTAACGATACTAATACATTACTATTGTATTAATTGACACTATATTATAATAACTAGTAAATAACACTATAGCATACAGTATACTACATATGCCTTATAGCATTAGAAACCTTGATTGCATTATTTTAAGGCAATAACTAGTTTAATGACAACCGGTACGTATTAACTAGGCTGAGACAGTAATAGCCAATAAGAGAGTAGTTTATATAGTTGTGTCACTAATAAGTAGTATATGATTGGTATGATTAGAGCGCCGACTCGGGAAATGTGCCGAGCATTCTGTTCCCTAGTCACTTGAGTGACTGGAGAGAAGAAGTTAAGTTCGAGACGCCGAGACGAGAGGACGTGTATTACCTATTATTGTAACCCTTATTATACTTATATATATTTAATCAATAAATTGGTGACGGTTAGCAACAGCAACAGTAAGTTAAAGTGTTTGTAGGCGCAGGCCTTCGGGCCTTGCGTTCGCCGGCGACGGTAGTCGCGTAAGTGTTGGACAGAGATCGGGTAAGATTTGTTTACTGAGACAGAGTCTCGCCTCCCGAGTCGTTCGGTCGAGGCCAGCGAAGTCTCTGATCTTCATTTGGTAGGTAGCCGAGACCACCGATATCGTCTCGCCTCCCGTCGCGAAGACAGTTGAGGCTCGAGATGAGGTCCCGGCAAGATCAGGCCAAAGGGCCGACAGTGTAATACCAACGCCACATCGGGAGCGATCGGAAGGCGGTTATCGGATGGCCGTCGAGAACCCCTAGACATCTTATGACTACGCGATACAACAACCCCTAGACAACGTACAACTTCGCGATGCGATTAACCCCTAGACAGACGAACTTCATAGACGATAATCCGAGTAGACGAGGTAACGTTACGTACTTCATGGTAATGGTGAGGATCGGCCGCGGTCAGATGACGGCGTCGTGCAATAGCCACCGCGCGACAACCTAGTGTAGCGTTGGGGAAACGTATACGAGGGACGTCTGCATAGCGCTGGCGAGCGAAAGCGAGCGAAGGTTACAGATACAGGTCGGTGCGAGACCGAGTGTCACACTACATGGTACCTGCGACACTGGCGACTTAAAGCTGATCCACACTAACGTCGAGGTAGCGACGCAGGACGTTACAATATGTTAGACAACTCTCATAGAGTTTACAGTTATAATGATAGTCTATGAGTGCTATTATATGTTTACTACTGAGTGGCCTATCATTTGACATATAAATTATTATTATTATTATTATTTAACACAATATTGTAATAATATTTTCATAATAATAATAATATTAAGTGATTGTCAGTGCATTTCCTAATCATCCCTTATTTACTATAATTATAATAATAAGCAATCATTTTGTTTGGTATTAAATAGTATTAAAATAAATATTGTATTTATCTATACAAACATATAGAATATATAACTACTTAAATATATTCATAAAATAATAAATAATATATAAATTTACTTAATATTTATTAACATAAAGTGTTACATAAAGTAAAAATAACTTTCAAATAATAAAATTGTGTAAATAGATAACATAAATATATTGAATTTAATATAAATAATAATAATTATTATTATTTTTATTATTATTGTGAGATTATATATAAGCGATATGTAAATATAGAAAAAATTATTAATATTATTAAGTGCTATAAAAAATAATTATTTTTATTCATTAATATAAAAGATTTATAACTATTTATTTTTTTCCTGTTTATTATGTTTTTTGTTTAAACAAAAATACAGAAAAAAGATTAAGAATTAATTTATAAAATAATAATAATAATAATAAGCAAAATAAATGACAAAAAATAAATAAATAAATACAAAACAATTTTTCAATTTAAAAGAAAATGTAAGTAATTTTTTAATTATAATTTTTTTAATTATGAAAATTCAAACTAACTGTATAACTAATTTGATGAAATTATCATCAATTTTTTCAGTCAATTAATTTTGTGCCACAATTTTCAATGGTATCATCCATTTGATAGGTCCTGTACTCTGCAATGTGATTGTCTGTGTGTTTATGTGTATCGCAAATGTATGTGAGATTGTGTGTGTGTGTGTGTTGTGATGATGGCTGTGATATATGGAACCAATGGGTATATCCCTGAAGACATTCAGAGACACGACAAACAAACCGATAAATTGATTGTCTTTTGCCATAAATAAGTCATTCAGTAATACAATCACATCCTCTTTGGGTTCAAAATAAACAGAAAGACAAGTGAAAAACAAGAGAAAGAAAGAAAGAGAGTTAAGAAAATTAAGCGCAACCTAAAAGTGCATTAATATTGTCATCTATTATATCACTACTATTTCACCGCCACTGTCGCACACTCCTACTTTCATCTGACAGTTCTCAATACAAACAAAACATATATCCATACATACATACATACATACATACAGTACATGAAAATCGATATTTAATTAACAGTGAAAAAAGCAGTGATGAAAGAGAAAGTGAGAGTCGACTGAGAAAATTGCAGTTCAAAAGAGTTTGAATAAAGAGTGAGACAATTGAGAGAGACATACCATAAAACAGAGAGAGAGAGAGAGAGAGAGAACGGGTAGTTATCATAGCTGTTATCATATATACAACTAAATTATATAAATATATGGGACATTAAAATAAATGTTTAATCGATGTCTACACTAAACCATCACAACCACTGTGACTGACTGTTTGACTAACTGTGCATTAATGTTGTGTTAGCTGTGTCTGTGTGCGGAGGACAACCCATAGACACCACATAGTGAGCACTTGGAGACAGCAGAGAGTTAGTAGTCGGAAGAGAGGTTGAGAGAGAAGACACACAATTTGTCCACTAAGTGATACTGTAGTAGTCAACTAACTATCAAAATAATTATTACATTTTTTTCGAGAGGGGAGGAATGGTAGGTTTTTTTTAATTAATAAAATTGATTCACAAGTTGTTTGCACTTCACTTGAAGTGAATGTATTTAACTTCAAAGTCAACCATCAAATATCTAATCGTTTAATAAGTTTACTAAAGTATACACAAAAAATAGTTACCATTACTTACCCAATCGCGCGGTAATGTATATTTGTTTTAAGTGATTATATCGTGTATTTTTAAAAAAAAAAACAGATAAAGAAAAAAAGATAATTATAATTATTGGCTACAAACGTGTGAATCAGTTAACGTAATACCACTTCAACAAAACAATAAATAAGAAAAGAGAAAGAGAAGTGATAACAACAATCTCTTAACCACTTAAATGTTTAAAACTTCAAAAAACACACTTCAAGTGGTGAAGGATTAGAAGTGCATTTGAAAATATGACAATTACTGTGTCAACAATGTTGTTGTCGTTGTCTTGGAGGTATAGGGACTGACATTCAAACTATCATTAACAGCAGTTCCCCCTTTAGTCTTCATACATAAGCCGTTTACATAATATCTGTGACGAAAAAAAGTGATTAAAACTTTTTGATACCAAATCATTATTTGATCTAACAATCATCCCTAAGCAGTTCCAACAGCAACTCAGGGGTGTCGCCAACACTGACATAGTTTTTAAGTTTGTTTGTCATATTCATTATCTAATGAAGACACTTTCTCCCGGTGAGGACACCTCCCGAACAAATTGGTAACAATTGAGTTTCTATCGATATTGTGGAAGAAACGTCACAATCATCTTCTGGTCATCGGCGGTAACAGTGCCGACATCGATCCCGAAGACAGTTCGGTCGGGTCGACAACTATGACAATACCAATGACCGAGTTGGAGATCGACGATGTGGCCTTTCTTACCGGAGCCGACGGAAATGGACATGACGGTAGCGATGGTAAACACCAATCGTCGACCAGTTGTGCCGGACTCATATGTCCGAACTCGTCGGCAAAAAGCCGACACCATCATCGCCATCATCGGCACAGTGACGGTCAATCGGGCGCTCATTCGGTGCTCAATTGGCGCAAATCCAATGTCCTGACGATGGGATTGTGTTCACTTTTGGTCATCACTATTATAGCCTTAATCATAGCCTTCTTTCCATTCCATAATCAATGTTTTACTGGTCACACATTATCGCATACCGGATCGTACGGGCCGGACGCCGATCATCGTCAACACAAACCGGACAGTAGCGGCACCGGTAGTCGACATCAATTGTCTCAATCGCCGTTGTTGTCCACCACAGGTGAACTGTTTCCCTGGACAGACATCCGGTTACCAGCGTTTGTCGTGCCATTCAGCTATGAGTTATCCATGAAACCAAATATGACTACCTTTTACAACACGGGTAGTGTATCCATATGGCTAACAGTGACCGAGAGGACAGACTTTGTGGTAATACATACGAAAAAATTAAATATCACTGACATCACAATGACTAGTGCTGACGATATGGACGTACCGGTTATCCGACGGCTGGAATGTACACAACACGAACAGTTGTTTATAGGTTTTGATGGCTTACTTGTGCCAAACCGTAACTATAGTTTACGGTTAACGTTTGAGCGACAACTGGAGGAACAGTTGGAAGGCTTTTACGTCAGTTCATATGTGGACACCAGGACTGGTGTCAGAAAATATTTGCTGACAACTCATTTTGAGCCGACGTCCGCGCGATCAGCATTTCCTTGTTTTGATGAGCCGGCGCTCAAAGGTTTTAAAAAAAATTCATTTACCGTACTTTACCATAGAGTTAAGTATAAAATGATAAATCTATAAAACAAAATCCCTGTCCTCTTATCATTTTAATACATCAACTGTTAGCCTCGTTTTCCATGAAATTGGTTCACGAAAGAGACTTCGAAGCCTTCTTCAACTCTGAGCGCGTGGATCGCGTTCCGTACAATAAGGAAGGCCTTATTATGTCGGTATTCGAGCCGACAGTCCCGATGTCTACCTATTTGGTGGCATTCATAGTATGCGATTTCAACATACACGCTAAACAGACTCGCGAGGGCATCAACATCCGGGCCATAGTACCCGATGAACAGGACTCACAGTCCAACTATGCTCTCAATTCGGCCGCTTCTATACTCAGCTACTACCAGGAGTTCTTTAATATAACATATCCATTAAGTAAACTAGATTTAGTGGCCGTACCTGACTTTGGCGGCGGTGCGATGGAAAACTGGGGTCTCATTACATTTCGGACATCGGTTTTCCTTTACAACGACAACGAAAGTAATAGCGAAACACAGGAACAGGTGGCCATTGTTGTCGGTTAGCAATTATTTTACAATAAATTTGTTGGTTAGGATCATCTGTTTTTTTTTGTTTTTAAATGTTTGGCACTATTAGCTCACGAATTAGCGCACATGTGGTTCGGCAACTTAGTGACAATGAACTGGTGGGACGACCTCTGGCTCAACGAGGGTTTCGCTTCGTATATTGAAAATCTTGGCGTTAATTATATACATCCCGAATGGTTTGATTACAAAAATATTTTGTTTATTTTAAGAATCATTTAGACTATGATTACTGTGTTTGCGACAGGAAAATGATGGAACAGTTTGTGGTGACCACCACTCAGTACGCTATGGCTATGGACTCTCTTCAGACATCGCATCCCATCAGAGCCGACGTGAAGAATCCGACAGAGATTGAGGCCATATTTGATATGATTTCATACAAAAAAGTAAAATATTATTAATATTTTCAAGTTTTTGTTGTTTTATTAATTTTATTGACCACCCGCTCAACCGTAGGGCGCGTCACTCATCCGAATGCTGGACAACTTCTTGGGCATTGATAACCTGCGAATCGGTTTGTCGGCATTTTTGCACAAATATCAGTACAAAACAGCGAAGACCAGCGACTTGTGGCACTCATTCTCAGATGTAATACTAATTTTCATTGATTAAAACAAAGCTTTAGTTTAACACATATATAGTATATTAATAAATATGATTTTACACTAAAGGCAAGTCGTATTCACGGCATTAATGTGTCGGCAATTATGGACACGTGGGTCAATCAAAAAGGGTTTCCTGTAATCACAGTCCGACGCATTGGAAACCAATTAATGCTAAATCAACGACGTTTTCTGTCCAGTATTCCTGATTCGGATAATATTGACGACCCGTCAGACATATCACCGTTTGGCTATAAGTGGATAATACCGGTCACAATAATTACCGATCGTTCGCCTCGCGAATCAAGATTGGTTTGGTTCAACACGTCGGAGATGTCGATACCATTTGATGCCCAACACCAGTGGTTCAAAGTGAACGTCAATCAGTCGGGCTTTTATCGGGTCAACTATGAGTCCGATCAGTGGCTCGCACTGACAGATCTGCTTAACAATCATAACTACAATCGACACGTTTTGTCGGCCATCGATCGGTCAAATCTGTTGGACGACGCCTTCTCGTTCATGAGGATTGGTATTCTCGATGTGAACTTAACGATGTCGTTGAGCTTATATTTGCGTAATGGGGAACGGGATTACATACCGTGGGAGACTGCACTCTATCATTTCGGTATTATGGATATGCTTATGGAGCAAAATCCATCGCTGCATCGGTATATCTGCGGTCTCATCGAACCGTTGATTACCATATGGGGTTGGAAGGATCAGACCACCGATCCGATGCTTCTACGCAAACTACGGGCACTGTTGTTGCGTGCGGCGGTCACCTACGGAGACAAACAGTCCATACAAGTGGCCAATAGGTATTTCCAGAGTTGGATGATTAACGGCACCAAAATACCGGCCAATCTGCGWGAAGTAGTGTACACTACAGGCGTCCAGTACGGGGATCAGCGCGAATGGATGCACTGTTGGCACCGGTATATGAATACAAGTATACCATCGGAAAAGAAGCTACTGTTGCTGTCAATGGGCGCCACCAGAAACTCGTGGCTATTGGCCCGCTATCTGAACAGTTCGCTGGACAAAAACCGYGTTCGGCCACAGGACACGGTTCACGTGATCCAAACTGTTGCCCGAAACCCGATGGGTCGCGATATGGTTTGGCGGTTTGTACGGGAAAATTGGCACCAATTTATCCGTATGTTCGGCGAGGGATCGTTTTCTCTCGATATGATTATCACTGAAACGACGTGGCATTTCTTGACCCGATTCGAGCTCAAACAAGTCCAACAATTCTTTGAGTCGGTGACCGTTGGTTCGGGTGCTCAGGCATACAGACAGGGCATAGAAAAAATCCGAACCAATATCTACTGGAAAGACCATTTAGAGCATCTGGTCATCAACTGGTTGGCCAAACATACCGGTGACGATGTGGTCCTATAGATTGTTGTAAATTATTATTATTATTATTACCTAATTATTATAACAATTGTTATTTTTAAGAGWATTTTCTAAACTCTTAACTACTTATTCATGAATTATCGTATCTACACATATGGTATGGTATACTACTGGTGCTAATTAATTAAAACAGTTTTAATTTGTTTTCGTCGGGTGTAAACCAAATCAGTATCAATTTGGCCAACAATTAAAGGCGAATACATTACATTACATACTATAGATATTTTAAAATAAACTAAACCTATTAATGGTTTGTTTTGAATAATTTAATAATAAACTAATTGATAAAAAAAATGTCATAATTTTCTTGTTGTTGTTGTTGTTTCTCTCACTACTGTATACTGTGGTCCTAATGACTGCCAAATCATAAATTCTTTGGCCCTCTTGTGCGCCGCATCGACAGCACCGGCCACTCCTTAGGCGACAATAATAAAATCAAATTAACGGTAATTTAATTACATTAGAAAATATAATATTTGAATAAAATAGAAAATTTAGTTAATTTTAAACAATTTTTTTTATTTGAATTCATTTGTATTGAAAATAATAATTTTTGAAAACAATTTTTGTTTAATAAATGACTTAAATTGAGAAACAAATTGATTGAATAAATGAATTATGACTAAAACCGAAATGTGTTTGAAATGTTGGAAGTGTTTGTTCGGTCGACCAAATTGTATGATAATATGTTTAATTTGGTAGTTTTTCTGCCAATTCTTTGGCCCTCTTGTGCGCCGCTTCTACAGCACTGGCCACTCCTGAGGCGACATCTGCTTTGTCGAGCACTCGCAAGCCATATCTGACCGATCCAGATGGTGATGTGCAGCTATCCTTTAGCTCTGACGGATGTTTACCCGACTCTAGTAGCGTCAGTGCCGCGCACTGTACGGTTATGGCCGCAAATTTAAGGGCTGTTTGCCGGTTCACCCCAGCTTTTGTGATGCCATCGGTAAGAGAATTGATAAAATAGTAGACAAACGCCAATCCGTTGCCTCCCAGAGCACAGGCCGAGTCCATCTGGCTTTCGGGTATGTACTCGAGCTTCGATATGGTTGACAGCATATCCCTTATTAGTGAACTACATTTATTATTTGTATATATCATTTATCACTCATCCTTGGCCTCCAATTTGGCGCCAAATGTTATGAGTGTTTGTGTCATTACAAGATCTACACGTGTGGCCGAATCGTGTAGAGGTGACCAACCGCCACAATCGGCTTGATTCTTGTCGATCCTTTCGTGTTTGACCAGCAACTATACAATAGCCGACTGTCCCGATCGGGTGACCGCCAACAGAGATGTTTCTTCGGATTTGATTTATGCTTCAAAACAATGTTTCGATGACTTTGAGTCCTTCCGGACCGATGTTGTGACGACAGGCCAACAGTAGCGCTGTCTCGCCTTCGTGTGACCGCCAATTGGGATCTGTGTCTTCGTGTTTGAGCAGTTCATCGACCAATGGCTGTTGACGTTCTTACAGATAACCGCCTAAAAAATATAATAACAAAAATAAGGTTTAATAAGAGACAGTCGGGTGGTGTTCACTAGTGATCAATCACCTGATGAAGTGGACGCCAACCTCTGTTATCCATGACATCAACACACTTGCCGTCGCGGATCAATTTCCTAAGCAGTTTCAGATCCTGTATGCGGACAGCGTTGGCCACACTTGAACTGCTGTCCGTATAGTGCTCTTTGAAGTCCATACTTCTCYTATACGGCAATATTGTTRCGATGTCTTCAGTTTGATGGCCAGTCAAAGATGAATCAATAAATCAATGATTGGTTACGATCTGTCTGTTTGAATGTCTGTATTGTTTTTATAACAATAATATTGACAAATGAATTGGTTGTCAAAGAGATAATCAATTCATTGTGTTTGCCATCGATTGCTAAATAAATAATATATTAATAGATATATTAATAGCAATAATAATGAGTCAAACAAAACAAACAGTGTTTACATATACTGTACTGTAGTTTGTATTCATTCATAACATTCATTCAATTCATAGCAATCACTGTAAGCACACAAACCATGAATTGTAATAATAATAATGTTTGCATACAAACAGTTAAAGAGAAAGAGAGAGACATCTGTATATAACTAGTAGTTAATAAATTTTTAAAGATATATATTCAAAAGTTTTATAGCAATTGATTTTTTAAGAGATTAAAAATTTGTTTAATTTAAAAAAAATTTATACTAAAAGTATGTTAATATTTGCGAACAAAATAATAATTTGTGTAGAAAATTTAATTTAACTTTTATTAGATATATATATATATACTGTATACAGTATATATACAGTATATATTATATTTTGTAAAATATTTATATCTATAATTTTATTTACATTATATAATATCACACAATTGCATAACTAAAATTTAATTAAACTAAAGTCAACTCAAAACAATATCACATAAATAATTGTGCAAATATTTCAAATAACTATCACATTTGTTGCAGTTCAACAATAAATACAGTTTACTTATTAATAAATGTCTACACTTATAGTTTAAGTTTTGTAAAAAAAATATTCAAATTAATCTATTTTTTAAATTTTAAAACAACAAAAAACAAATATTAAAATAATGGCTAATTTAAAATTAAAAATACAATAGTTTTTTGCTGTAAAAATAATTTATATAATAATAATATTATACAGAATTTTAATATATAATATTGTTTGACTCGTTCTATATAACAAACTATTTAATTGCTGTAATTATACTATTATAACGTGAATTATTATCATTCATAACATACAATAAATAGTAAACCGTTATTTTACAAATAATTTGATTAAGAGTTGATATAATAATATCATAAAAAATTATTTGTTTTTTTTGTTGACTAACGTTTTTGGACACAATTAGACAGAACTGGACACAACTGGACACAACTGGACACAACTGGACACAACTGGACACAACTGGACACAACTGGACACAACTGGACACAACTGGACACAACTGGACACAACTGGACACAACTGGACACAACTGGACACAACTGGACACAACTGGACACAACTGGACACAACTGGACACAACTGGACACAACTGGACACAACTGGACACAACTGGACACAACTGGACACAACTGGACACAACTGGACACAACTGGACACAACTGGACACAACTGGACACAACTGGACACAACTGGACACAACTGGACACAACTGGACACAACTGGACACAACTGGACACAACTGGACACAACTGGACACAACTGGACACAACTGGACACAACTGGACACAACTGGACACAACTGGACACAACTGGACACAACTGGACACAACTGGACACAACTGGACACAACTGGACACAATTGGTAACAATTTTTAGTCAAATTAGAACTAATTTAATTAATTTTGCAGTTTCTCTTTAAACAGTTCTTGTATATCAATCACATCAATAATGTCCAACAACAACAACGACAATAATATCGTTGGTCTTGTTATTGAAAATAAATATAAAGTATTAAGTTTTATAAACAAAGGAACTTATGGTCGGATATATGTCGGTAAGGATATTACAAATGGTCGTAAAGTTGCCATTAAATTGGAAATCAAATCATTAATTGTGTCACATTTGGCTAACGAATATCGCATTTTAAAGAAGTTGGGCGCAGGACAGGACACAACACCACACAAGTCAATCGCACAAATCTATTTCTTTGGAACAATAGATATCAAATGGCAAACAATGGTAATGCAATTATTAGGCCCTAACATCGATCAGGTTATGAAAACCGTTGGCGGCACTTTTAGTCTTAAAACTACGTTACTGTTGGCCATACAGATTATCGATGCTTTTATGTATGTACACGACCACAACTATATACATAGAGATATCAAACCGCAAAACCTAATGTTTGGTTTGCCTGCAACGGACAAGTATAATGTCGTTCATTTAATAGACTTTGGTTTAGCCATTGCCTACAGAAGAGGCGATCCACTGCAGGGGTACGAACACATAAAACCCGGTGAATCGGACGACAATCGCGTCGGAACTCAACGATTTATGAGTATCAGTGGTCACAAATGTCTGGAACAGAGTCGTCGAGACGACATGGAATCCGTTGGTTATGTATTAATCTATTTACTAACCGGTCTTTTGCCGTGGACTGGTATTAATCATAAAGACAAAGATATTAGAAATAACCAAATTTTACGAATTAAAGAAACTACAACCGCTGAAACCTTGTGTTTAGGTCTACCGGCAGAGTTTAACCACTATTTGAATGATATTAAAAATCTTGAATTTACCGATAAACCTAATTATGATCGCTATATATCTATGTTTCGCCGAAAGCTCGGGAAAATATTGAAACCGACCGGTAGACAGAATTATGATTTCGATATCTTTCATTGTAAACGCCAAACAAATATATCAATTAAAGACAAAAAAATCGGTTTCCTCGGCGCCGGTAAGACAGCTGATGCCATCATTAGTGGCCTAATTCAATACGGAAAAGTAGATCCAAAACGCATACATGTGTCGGCAAAGACTACGAAAAACTTGGAGACCATCAAACAGAAGGGCTGTCACATTACGAAACGGAATTACGATATATTCGGCAAATATGACTGCGATATAGTATTCCTGTGTTTTCACGGCTCAGTTATCAAAGAGTGCTACAAAATTGGTGGTTCGCGTCCGCATCCGTTGACAACAAATTTCATACCAACTATGAAACATCCATTGTATGTGCTATCGCTGGTCAGCGGTATAAAGTTGGATCAGATCCGGGATTGTCTATTGAATCCCGAACACCCGGACAAGTATATGATCGAAATGCACAGATTAAGCATCAGTACTGCTTGTGCTTATGGTTTGGGAATAACTGCCATCGCCAGCAAAAAGTTTAGTCCACTAATAAGGGATATGCTGTCAACCATATCGAAGCTCGAATACATACCCGAAAGCCAGATGGACTCAGCCTGTGCTCTGGGAGGCAACGGATTGGCGTTTGTCTACTATTTTATCAATTCTCTGGCCGACGGCGCCTTCAAGATGGGTCTCAATCGTCAAATGTCTATAAAACTTGCCGCCAAAACCGTACAGTGCGCGGCACTGACACTACTAAAGTCGGGTAAACATCCATCAGAGCTAAAGGATAGTTGCATATCGCCATCTGGACCCGTCATTTATGGCATCCATGTGCTCGACAAAGCAGATTTCGCTTCAGGAGTAGCCGGTGCTGTCGAAGCGGCGCACAAGAGGGCCAAAGAATTGGCAGAAAAGATTTCAAATTAAACTAATTATTCTACAATTTGGTCGACCAAACAAACTCTTCCAACTCTTTAAAAAAATTTAATTTAACTTTTATTAGATATATATATATTATATTTTGTAAAATATTTATATCTATAATTTTATTTACATTATATAATATCACACAATTGCATAACTAAAATTTAATTAAATTAAAGTCAACTCAAAACAATATCACATAAATAATTGTGCAAATATTTCAAAATAACTGTCACATTAGTTGCAGTTCAACACAATAAATACAGTTTACTTATTAAATGTCTACACTTATAGTTTAAGTTTTGTAAAAAATTATTCAAATTAATCTATTTTTTAAATTTTAAAACAACAAAAAACAAATAATAAAATAATAGTTAATTTAAAATTAAAAAAACAATAGTTTTGCAAATCCACAGTAAAAAAATAGTGTAATACAATAGACAACAAAACCAATGCACCGGTAGATAATGAAAACACTGAATGTTGTGACTGATGTTATGAAATATTCATCGAAAGCCAATTGTCGGGCATACGAGTTATCTTCGGTTTTGTTGCCGTTTTTTCGTTTTTTATCATCAAATATATTGATTCCGTGATCAAAAAGTGAATCAAAAGTGTTTTTGATAAAAATCTATATTTAAATTTCAAAAAAAATATATAATTAATTTCATATATTGTATAAAAGTAAGACACAAAAAATCAACTATTCATTGATTTCATACTTCAATTAATAGATGTAAATATTTTTTGAAATATTGAGGACACGTCAGACAGACTAAACCGAGACAACGAGTGGCCGCCCGACGGACTGACAGGTAGTCTCTGAGAAATCCTGGCAAACACTGAAAACATTCAGAAACAACAAAAAATATCATTTAAATGAGTTATTTAAATAGTCATTTAAATAAAAATCTTAATTTAATTTAATTGATTAAAATACATACCGCTATCTCGRGTGTGTGTCTGCATAACAGTATTTACTTGACTAAAGTCACTGAATTCAAGACAACTTGAAAACATATGAAGACATCTCATCATCGATTTCGGTGATCCTAAATAAAATGGACACCAAAACAAAATCTCATATAAAAAGACTGAAAATAATAGTTTGACATTAATTTCTTCTTTGTTTTCTACGACTCTCTTCTTTCATYATCATTGCCATCCACTTCTTGTAATTCAATTCTCAATTTATCAATCATTTCAATCAATTTGTTTTGTTTTTTTGGTCTTCAAGTTCGCGACCATCAGTTTCTTCKGCAATYGAACCCAAATCATCGGATGTCTTGTCATCCATATTTTGTTTCTATAAAATATTATAATTATAGTTTATTTATGTATTATATATTAGAAAATATTAATACTATATTAACGATAGATCCGGTAATAAATACTAGTAATACATGTTATCAATTACTGTATATTAATTACCAAATCATATGAAAAGCTAATCATTCATTTAGTTACTCAACTAATCTGTACTAATGATATGTTTGAACGGATTTGTCTTTTATTTTTTATTTGAATAAAATCTGATATTTTTTTTATTTGGACTCTCCTTTGATGACAAAAACAAAACAAAATCTAACTGTTGTTGTCAATAGTGTTGACTAAACTATGCGCCGGTAAGACCGGTTTTGTACCAGTCCCACTCTGACCATGACCCCTCCGAACTGGCTAGTGATGGTGGTGGCGGTCCGGGCGGTCCGGGCATTTCTGGCCATTCAAAGTTATCTAAGTCGAAGTTATCGTCATCCTGTGGTTCATTTTTCGCCTCAAACTCAGCGATAAGTTCGTTAACATTGGGCGACGGACCGATATCAAGCGGTGGTGGCGGCGGTGGCGGTGGTTCCTGTCCTCCATTTTTAGCCTGTTGACCCATTTGTTGAAACTTAGCAACCAGTTGGCCGACATGTTTTCCTTGATGGTCGTGACCCATATGTCCATTGCCACTGCTCTGAGAGCTTTCATCATACTGGGGACCAATTGGTTTTGGTGTCCAACCACCACCGGTTGTTGAATAGCCACTGCCATTACTACCCAAACCATATCCACTTCTTTGAGAAACTTCTAAACCACCACCGATTCCATTATAGCCAGCACTGAGAGAGTCCCACTGGGATTGACTGTTACTTCTGGAGAGAGATGCTAAAGATGTTGTTCTTTGTCCAGTACTAGCCATAGAATATCCATTGCTTGGTGTAGTTGTACGCCTATGACCCAGTCCGCCATAACTACTACTTACCGGTTGTTTTTGTAAGTTTTCAAAATGGGAGATCAATTTGCCGACATGTGAACCTCTGTGGTCGCGTTTTAGATGTCTTTGTAGTGTTGGTGGTGTTTGTGGTCGTCCCCGACCCTCATAATAGTCGATCAATTGACTGACATGTTTTCCCCGATGATCGCGTTTCAGGTGTCTCTCGAGTGTTGGCTTCGATGGTGTCCGACTAAGATCTTCAGTTTGATCCATCATTTTAGACACATTTCTTAGAGTCTTTTCAACTGCTGCTAACAGATACTGATTATTACTTATGGATAGAGATTCTAAAGATGGCAGTCTATCACTAACCATAGGATTTCCACCAGAACTGTATGTCCCAAGACTTCTAGTCCGAGGCATTGCTAGTCCACCACCACTATAGCTACTTCTAGAAGTACTTCTTTGACCACTCAGTCCGCCATAATTACTACTTGGAGACAATGGTAACCCACCACCAGTTCCTCCTAATCTATTAGATGGCAGAACTGCTTGTCTACCACTGGCTCTTCCATATATATTTGTCGGTGCAATTGTAAGACTACCATTATATCCGCCATAAGGACTACTTGTAGACAATGGTAACCCACCACCAGTTCCTCCTAATCTATTAGATGGCAGAACTGCTTGTCTACCACTGGTTCCTCCATATATATTGGTCGGTGCAGTTGTAAGACTACCACCATATCCGCCATAAGGACTACTTGGAGACGATAGTAGTTGACTACCAGTTCCTCCTAATCTACTACATGGCAGAACTGCTTGTCTACCACTGGCTCCTCCATATATATTTTTCGGAGTAGTTGTAAGACTACCACCATATCCGCCATAAGGACTACTTGGAGACGATAGTAGTTGACTACCAGTTCCTCCTAATCTACTACATGGCAGAACTGCTTGTCTACCACTGGCTCCTCCATATATATTTTTCGGAGTAGTTGTTTGACCGGCAATTCCATTATAGCCRGCACTGGAAGAGCCCCACTGGGACTGGCCGTTACTACTGACGTGAGATGATAAAGATGTTGTTCTTTGGCCAATATTAGCCATAGAATAGCCATTTTTTGGTGTAGGTATACGCCTATCACCCAATCTGCCATAACTACTACTTAGACCACTTACCGGTTGTTTTTGTAAGTTTTCAAAATGGGAGATCAATTTGCCGACACGTGAACCTCTGTGATCGCGTTTCAGGTGTCTCTCGAGTGTTGGCTTCGATGGTGTCCGACTAAGACCGACACTTCGATTATTATACCATTCCTCCTCTTCATTGTCATCGGGCATCTCATATGCTTCGTAATCGTATGACATAATGATTTGATTTTGTGATTTTGAAGATATGTCTGAAGATATTCGGTGTCTTTGATTCTGTACTTTCTGTTAGTAAGTGTCCGAATGTGTCTGTGATTTTGTATCTTTGTTTTAAACAATTTTTCAATTTTATTTGAAAAATAACAATACTTTATAAAAATATTTTTTTTTCTAATTTTTTTTAAATGAGTTTAATTTTAAAATATATATTTTTTCTAATGTCTTGTAAATGATGGACAAAAAGATTGGTTGTTGTAATGATTCCGATCTTTGCCTGACATTAGACATAGGATACTAATCCTTCCAGTATTGAGTAAACTAAATCAATAATGTCCATCWGCACCGGGTGCTCCAAAATGTTTTCCGTTTWCAGATATAGTATATATATACATATATCATATGTTAAAAAATTATTTTTTTTATAAAAATAATTTAARTTTCAAATAAAATTTATTTATTTTTCTGGCAATGATATGTACGATATGTAACTTAAACTATTTAATACAATAATAAAAATATTTTTATACAACAAAATACTGTATATTCTAATAAAACTAATAAAATACTGTCTAAATGTCTTGTCTTCACTATTTTGTACCCAAAAAATATTATAACTATAATTTATTTATGTAATATATATTAAAAAATATTAATACTATATTAACGATAGACCCGGATGAGACAAAATGTTTTTTTTCATAGTTTAGTGTTTATGTATTATTATTATTATTATTACGATAGAAAAAATTGCCAACACATTAACATATGTAGTGTCAATGTGGTGTTTATGCGATAAAATTATAGTAAATGATCATGGTAATAATAATAATAATAGTAAAACTAGCATTATATATTTATAACTAGTATTTTACATACAATAAAATTTAGTATAAACACCTATATTTCTAGCCATTATACCTTAATGATACTAGTGAGCTGATATTTTAAAAAAATAAAAAATGTGTTAACTACCTGGGCACCGTAGTGTTAATTTGTCTAGTTGTTGTTATTGTTTAAAAATAACAGGTGCGCTGATGAGGACAGTTATGTTTTTCAGAGAGAGAGAGAGAGAGAGAGAGAGAGAGAGAGAGAGAGAGAGAGAGAGAGAGAGAGAGAGAGAGAGAGAGAGAGAGAGAGAGAGAGAGAGAGAGAGAGAGAACAATGTTGTCCATAAAGTGTGATAAAAAACAAAACTGTAACTTAAATAACAAGAAAAAATTATATATATATTATATTTTGTAAAATATTTATATCTCTAATTTTATTTTTTGTAAGACTTTCTCTAATTTCTATATTTCCTGCATTTAACAGACATTAGAGGAGAGAGAGACGAAAAAAAACTATCAGTGCTATGGGATGATCACTGGTAATGACTACACACACAAAATAAAATAAAATATAAACTCTAAAAGTAGTGCTAATGGGATGGTAAGGTCTAGTTTGTAATGGCATTATAAATATGTGTAACTTAGAGGCACTTTTCTTTTGTCAATGTCGTGCATAATGTTTGTGATGTGTGTGTGTGTCTGACAATACATATTGAGATATTATTGTAAAACATAAAACAAAACAACAACAGAAAACACACGACTAGTCGATTAGTCTACCGGTGCTTATAGTTTGTTAGGCTATTACAATCCAATTGGTAATACCTATCTATTGGCAAAACGGAGATGGCGTTCACTGCCTGTTATTTCTTAAAAAACTACTAACCCTTGTTGTTGTAGATGATAATGATGTTTGCATTGATATTATTGTATTTTTAATATTAATGTTAATATAATACTGYATAAAAAAATATATTCAATACATATTTATATTTATCTAAATTGATAAATATGTATAAATAAATAATTATTAATATACAAGTACATGTATATACAGTACATTATATTTTTAGATCGTTTACCTTAATTATATATAAAAATATATATATAAATTATTTACATTTTGATTAATAGGTTAATTAATTTTTCTTGTTTATATTTTTTAAAATTTTGATAATTGATTATTTTATCCCCTCCCTATTATCACCATATTTGTATTAGTTATCCCCATTACAATTTAAAATTGTTATATACTGTATTGTAATATAAAATAATCTCTCTCTCTCTCTCTCTCTCTCCATAACTATACTATTGTATACAATAATTTGTATGACATAATGGATAAGGACTGAGACGATAGTGTAAAGTGGTGTGCAGTCAATCATTCAATAGGCAAAAGCATTGACTTATTTTCTTTCCATTAATAGACATCAATATCTATCTCTTATGTATTTTATATGTAATATTGACTTTATGTTTGTCACTCTCTATATAAAATATATGTCTTTTTCAATCCATTTATAAGTTTGTCACTAACAATAGGAAAACTACAAAATCACWAAACAGTAATACAGTGTTATAGTATACATATGAACTGTATATACAATATATAAATTTCTTTATTTATGACAATGTTTTTTTTGTACATTATTTTACATTAGATTTTTATTTATACTATGATATAGGAATCTATATCTTGTATATTYTTTAATATAAAATTGATACAAAAAAAGTGAATATAAATATATATATATGAAAAACAGATATTGATATTGAATTAGATGTTTGACACGACTACTCTCTTTCTCTCTATATGTTTGAACTATAACTACAAGAACATGGATATACAATATAAATATATATATATAAATTTATATTAGCAAATATGAATACCCAGTTCAATGATGATACAGTTGCTGTTACTATTATATAGTATACAAACACAAACACACACACAAAGTAATAAAAACTACTTATTTGGGTTCAATTTATTTTATTTGTTATTGTATTTCATGGGATATATATATATATAACTTATACTTCATCTACTAATGTCTAAGACATGTCATGATTCTCGTGCTTACTGTTTGCCTATTGATACACAATATCAGTGCAAACACACAGACAGACACACACACACACACCAGCAAACTAGTAGTCAATCAATGAGTTAGTCAGTCAGTCAGTCACACAATTTTATCACTTCATTGAAAACGGATATTTGAAAGCCTGAATACCAGCCCTTTGGAAATCATAGCCCTCGCTCTCAGTCTATTAGTTGAGAAAAAAACACGAGTAGATAACTACTACTTTTAGTCGATTACTTAACTACCGGTGCCGAATAGTTCGTGTAAAGGCATTGATGTGACACTCGTCTATTGGGAAACGGAGATGGCGTTCATTGCCTGTTAGTAGTCTCTCAAAACTACTACTACTACTACTGTTAGTTGTCTATACACTTATTTGTTAGTAATAGAGTTGTGTGTATGTCTATATGTCAGAGATTGAGTAATAACAGTCGGTTCCTATCAACATACCAGTGCTTATGGTGTCAATTGTTTGACAGATATCTTAACAGTACACAAAAAAAACAATAGACGACAACAACATTAACAGACAACTGACTTATTGTTAGCGATATTGTTGTTGTAATAGTAGTTGTAATCGAGGCTCACGTCTCTCATTCACTTTCATTTAGCGATACATTTTTAGCCATATTTTTTTGGTGAGAAAATAGATAGAGAATCGGGTTTCCAATAGACGGGAGGACAAGGATGTCATCATTTTGTCGTCTACTTATTTTTTGATACACAATTGTATTACTAGCAATAGACTACTACTACTGTACATCAATTGATGGGTTATAAATTATTGACACTATTATCTATGGTGTCATATCTCGCTTACACACACACACACTCTCTCTCTCTCTCTCTCTCTCTCTCTCTCTCTCTCTCTCTCTCTCTCTCATCCTTAAGTGTGAGATACCCCGATATAGTTGCCTTCAATTTTTCTCTATCAATCCCTGAACTGATTGTATAATAATAATATGAAAAATCGATATCAACTCAATTGAGAGAATGTGAACTCACTGGTAGGGCATATCAAAAGAGAGAGAGAGAGAGAGAGAGAGAGAGAGAGAGAGAGAGAGAGATGACATACAGTATATAATTCATACTATTGTTTTACAGCCATAATATTCACACACAAAATATAATAATAATAAATGTAAAGAAAAAATTTATGCTGAATACTACTAAAAATTTTTTGRTAGTCAACTATTTTGTTGTTGTGACTTAGGTTACAGTGTTAAGAGCTATATCACAGCTTCTGTACCCGAGAGAGCTGACCTAAAAAAAGAGAGGACAACACTTTTTACTCAACAGTTTTTTTATCTCTTTAAGCAATAGTTTTGTGTTTCATTAGATTTCATTAACATCTAAAAAAAATTTCAACGTTAATATAAACATACATTTAGATATGAGAAAAAACTTGTATCGTATTTATGTTACTATTTATTATTATTATTATTATTAGTAATTTAGTAGTATTTTACTTATCAAACAGAAACGCTATATATCTAATGATAACGTTTTCCCAATGACAGCACTTATATGTCATGTCTCAATCACTTTTTATATCATCCATTGACTCCTATGGTAAGCCATACACGTTCACCCGTTAAGTGAAATCTCACAGCAAATTATATAATACATATAGCATTATATATATATATGGTGTGTGTGTGTGTGTGTGTTATGTGCCATAAAAACGATACGAAAATCGCTTACAAAAAAAAGTAAAATAACAAAAAAATAGTCATTAATAACTGTCGAAAAACTCAATCAAAACTAAATTTCCTTTTCATTGCTAAAAGTTATTGACAGTACAGTATACACCAGCGCCTGACTCCAAGTTAAAGATGGCATATACTGTACAGTACTATACGTACCARTGCAGCAGCAAAAATGAATTATTAGCATCAGTTAGAAGTCATTATTAGAAAGATTATAGTAATGTGTGTTATCTCATGTACCCAATAACTAACTAACTAACTAACTAACCCACTCAGTCACTCATTTATAGTTAAATGAATATTATTTGTGTATTTAATATTATTTCTAGAGATTGCAATATAAAACTGACTGCAATAATTGCTGTCGACATTATATA